CACCTACACAGGGAATCTAGCATTTTCACAATGTGATCCACTATTTGGGTGGTACACGGCAGGTCTTGAGTCGCCATCTTTGACCTCTTCAGTGGCGGGGGAAATGTAGCTGTCAATGCCATTGATTGTCAACACAGGACCTAATGCTGTAATATCAGCAGAAGCTGTCATGTAGTCATGTATTCTTATAGTGTCCCCCCTCTGGGTACCACGCGGCTGGGCACCTACCACCACACAGCCCCGAGCCCTGTCCAATCTGGCGGAGTCAAGCCTGCCACGCGGCCTTCAGCACCCACTGACACCAGACCCTACCGCTCCCACAGACACTGGGCCCCTAGCACCCTCAGTCGCTGGCCCACAACATCCGCATGCACTGGCTCACTTCGCCCACGGACGACGAGCCCTACTGCACCTACCAATGCCTAGCCCACTCCACCTCCAGACATCGGTCCACACCACCTCTTGACGACGACCCTTCAACACCTCCTGACGCTGGGCCCTTCAGCACCTTCAGCGCCTCCCGACGCCGAGTCCTCAGCACCTGACGCCTGGCCTCAGCATCTCCAGTCACCGAGCTGCCAGCATCACCAGACGCCGTGCCTACCAACACCCCCAAACATCGCGCCCTACGACCCCTCCACTCGCTTAACCACCGTACCCACTGAAGACGTGCCGCAGCACCAACGGACTCCAGCATACTGCACACACAGACTGCAACCAGCCAGCTGCTGACCCAGCTGCCCTCCACTCTCACTCTCCCCCTACAGAAGGACTCAAATGGACTCCTCCACAGCGATACAGACTCTCCACATCACCTTGCCCTGACCTGTATCCCTTCACCTCCCCCGACCTGACCAGCACTCCACTCACCCCAACATGCCACCTGCAATCCTCCTCCTCGTATTCCTCTCCTCCATCCCAAAAATCGCCTCCCTCTACTCGCCTACCCCCCCAAAACAGCTCTACATTGCCCCTTCACTTCTCCCCTCTCCCCACTACGGCACTCACCACCTCCTCCTGCTACTCCACTCCCCCGTCGACCCACGTGCCACCACTATCAGACCCACACGCTCCTGCACTTCCCATTCCCATGCCACCTTCCTCACCCTTCTCCTATCCGCTGGGGACATCTCCCTGAACCCTGACCCCTCACCACCTCACCCCCCCTAGGGACCCCCCTGCTCCCGCCAGCCGCTGCAACCCCCTCAACCTCATACCTGTGCCCCTCCTCCCCGCATCCATCCCCCCTCTCTCAGTTGCACTCCTGAACGCCCGCTCGGTTTGCAACAAGCTTACCGCCATCCATGACCTCTTTATCTCCCACTCCCTCACCTCCTAGCGGTCATCGAAACCTGGGCACAGGCCACTGACTCTACCTCCCCTGCAGCACTCTCCTATGGAGGTCTCATCTGGTCCCATTCACCAAGACCGAGCAGTCGCAGAGGTGGTGGTGTCGGCTTGCTCCTGTCACCGCTTAGCACCTTCCAGGTCCTCCCTAACAACCCCTCTCTATCCTTCTCCTCCTTCGAGGCTCACTGCATCCGGCTCTTCTCCCCCCAAGGATCGCAGTGATCTACAGGCCTCCTGGATCCATACCCCGCTTCCTGGATAACTTCGCCGCCTGGCTTCCCTTCTTCCTCTCCTCTGAGCTACCGACCATCATCCTTGGGGATGTCAATATCCCATCAACGACAACAACCCGGCTACTTCCTAACTCCTCCACCTAACCTCCTCCTTTGCGCTCACCCAGTACACTCAATCCTCCACCCACATCGATGGGAACACTCTGGACCTCGTCTTCTCCCACCTCTGTACCCTCCAGCAGTTCACTAACACCCCCTTCCCTCTCTCCGACCACCACCTCCTCACGTTCTCCATCTCCCCTTCCCCTAACTTCCCCCCCCCCCCCAAAGCGCCAAACCATCACTAGCCGCAACCTCCACAACCTGAACCCGGCCCCCCTCCACTCGGATGCCGACCGCCTACACGACAGCATCCTTCCACTGTCATGTCCTGACCTAGCCACCACCACGTACAAAGACTCACTGTCAGCTGCCCTAGACTCTCTGGCACCCCTAACCACATGCAACATCAAACCCAGACCGCTCCAACCATGGCAGAACGACCACACTAAATGCCTCAAACGTCGCAGTAGCGCGCTGGAGAGACTATGGCGCAAAACCAGGTCCCCTCGTGCGTCCCTCCCTCTACAAATCTGCCTTCTTCACTTACATCTCCTCCCTCCACGCCGCCAAGCAGGCCTACTTCGTAAACCTGATCAACACCCTCTCCACCTGCCCTCGCCGACTCTTCTCCACCTTCAACTCCCTGCTCTCTCCCCCCCTCCTCCACTCAGTACCTCACTTACCGCCCACGAGATTGCCACTCATTTCCACAACAAGATTGACGCAATCCGTAAGGACATAGTCAACTCACAATCTACCTCCCCACCTAGCCTCCCCCCCCCCCATCACCCCCTCATCTCTGACCTTGCAACCGCACTGCCCCCCACCACACCCAAGGCCCCGCTTACCGTAACCCCCCCAGCACTGTACTCCATCAGCCCTGCTACCACTGAGGAAGTCACCAGGGTCTTCTCAGAAGCCCGCCTCACTACCTGCCCCCTGGACCCAATCCCCTCTCAACTCCTCCAGTCACCCCCCTCTTCCCTCATCCGCTCCCTCACCCACATCTTCAATCTCCCCCTCTCTACTGGCGCATTCCCCTCCCCCTAAAGCATGCGCACATCACCCCCATACTCAAAAAGCCCTCCCTGGACCCCACTGACTCAAACAACCTCAGACCCATCTCCCTGCTGCCACTCACTTCCAAGCTCCTTGAACGCTTAGTCTACGATCGCCTAAGCGCCCACCTAACTGACAACAACCTCCTTGATCCACTACAGTCTGGCTTCCGTCCCCTACACTCCACCGAAACCGCCCTCCTCAAAATCACTAACGACCTACTAACTGCCAAAGGCGACTACTCTGTCCTCCTTCTCCTGGACCTCTCCGTGGCCCTCGACACAGTTGACCACCCCCTCCTCCTTAATAAACTACTCTCCCTTGGCATCAGAGACACCGCTCTCTCCTGGTTCTCCTCTTACCTATCCCGACGCTCCTTCAGCGTTTCCTACAACGGTGCCACCTCCCCTTTCCTCCCCCTCTCTGTTGGGGCCCCCCAAGGCTCTGTCCTTGGACCTTTTCTCTTCTCCATCTACACCTCCTCCCTTGGCAAACTCATACACTCCCACAGCTTCAACTATCACCTCTACGCTGATGACACTCAAATTTACCTCTCCACCCCTCACCTCACTCCCACATTCTCTGCCCGCATCCCTCACCACCTAAACGACATCTCAGACTGGATGTCGCTCCATTTCCTCAAGCTTAACCTCTCCAAAACCAAGCTTCTCGTCTTTCCCCCTGCCCACGCCCCCCCCCCCCCCCCAACCTATCCATCACTACCAACAACACCACCATCAATCCCGCCCTGCAAACCAAAGTCCTGGGCATCATTCTGGACTCAAACCTTTCCTTCCAACCTCATGTCAAATCACTTACAAACACATGCAGGCTCCACCTCCGCAACATCGCCAAGATACGTACCTTCCTTACCCCAGACACCACTAAACTACTCATACACTCCCTGATTATCTCACGCCTTGACTACTGCAACTCCCTTCTCACCGGCCTACCCCAGTGCAAGCTCTCCCCGCTTCAGACCATCCTGAACTCAGCGGCTAGACTCATCCACCTCACCAACCGTTCCACCTCTGCCAGCCCCCTCTGCCTATCCCTCCACTGGCTCCCGATTGCCCAACGCATCAAATTCAAACTACTAACTCTGACCTACAAAGCCATTCACAACACTGCCCCTAACTACCTCACCAACCTGATTCCCAAGTACCACCCTACCCGTACCCTTCGCTCCTCACAGGACCTCCTTCTATCTTGCACCCTGGTCTCCTCCTCCCACGAATGACTGCAGGACTTTTCCAGGTCCTCCCCCATCCTCTGGAACTCACTACCCCAATCCATCAGACTGTCACCTTCCCTCCTCACCTTCAGGCGCTCCCTGAAAACCCACCTCTTCAGGGAAGCCTACCCCATCCTCACCTAACAGCCGTTCTCCTTCATTCCTCCTACCACTCCATCCCCCACAGCCACTTCCTCCTGTACCACTGCCCCCTCCCTCCTAGATTGTAAGCTCGAAAGAGTAGGGCCCTCTAACCCCCCCTCGTGTGCTGTTTGCTGTTGCTGTACTGTTTCATGTATTGTCCCCCCCCTATTTACAGCGCTGAGCAAACCCTTTGGGCTATATAAACTCGATGTAATAATAATAATAATAGTGCTCCAATGCTCCAATGCTCCTCTAATCTACCGCTTCTGTGTGGTCAGTCCTTTAGATCTTATTGGGACCTTTAAAAATAGATGGACATTTGGCTTTGCCTTTGGGGCAATCGCAAACAAAGTAATGTCACTCTTTTCTGAAGAATACCTGCCACCAGGTGTGCCACCATGGGCAAAAGGTAGGTATTTTAATTAATGCAGTGATCTTGATTTACTTTGTCAGTGATCTGGCTCAGTTTCAACAAGCCACAGTGATGCACACTATAATAACAGCCAAGGCTTTAACCAACAATTAACTGGTGTTATCAACAAATGTAATGCCAACCAAGAGGCACAACTATAGTAAAAGGGGCAAAGGTCAGGGATAGAGTCTTGATAGGGATGGAATAGGAGCAGTGTTAGGGAGAGGTAACTGACAAGGAGAGAAAGGTTATGTCTGATGCCAGGATCTTGGAACTGTCTCTCACTGTCAGCTGGCCAAATTGCAAGGACTTTGGGGACCTCAGGGCTACCTAGTAATCTGGATACGTCCTGCAAGAGAATGCTCCTCAGACATTCTGTGGTCTGTAAGACCATGTTATATTGCTGCTGAAAAAGTGTCTTGTTGACGAATGTTATCTTTTTGCATGAATAAGTGTGTAACCCAAAACATACATTGCCAAAAGTATTTGGACACCCCTCCAAATCATTGGATTCAGGAGTTCCAAACACCTCCATGGCCACAGGTGTATAAAATCAAGCACCTAGGTATACAGACTGCTTCTACAAATATTTGTAAAAGAATGGGTCACTCTCAGGACCTCAGTGAATTCAAGCATGGTACCATGATAGGTTGCCACCTGTGCAATAAGTCCATCTGTGAAATTTCCTTCCTTCTAAATATTCCACAGTCAACTGTTCGGGGTATTATAACAAAGTGGAAGCAACTGAAAACAACAGCAACTCAGCCACGAAGTGGTAGGCTACGTAAAACGACAGAGCGGGGTCAGCACATCCTGAAGCGCATAGTGCTCAGAAGTCGCCAACTGTCTGCAGAGTCAATAGCTAAAGACCTTCAAACTTCATGTGGCCTTCAAATTAGCACAACAGCATGTAGAGAGCTTCATGGAATGTGTTTCCATGGCTGAGCATCTGCATCCAAACCTTATATCACCCAGTGCAATGCAAAGTGTTGGATGCAGTGGTGTAAAGCACGCCACCACTGGACTCTAGAGCAGTGGAAACGTGTTCTCTGGAGTGACGAATCACGCTTCTCTCTCTGCCAATCAGATGGACGTGTCTGGGTTTAGCGGTTGCTAGGAGAACGGTACTTGCCTGATTGCATTGTGCCAAGTGTAAAGTTTGGTAAAGGGGGAATTATGGTGTGGGGTTGTTTTTTAGAGGTTGGGATTGATCCCTTAGTTCCAGTGAAGGGAACTCTTAAGGCATCAGCATGCCAAGACATATTGGATAATTTCGTGCCTTTGAGATGAATTAGAGCACAGACCGTCTTCTCGTCCAACATCATTGCCTGACCTCACAAATGCGCTTCTGCAAGAATGGTCAAACATTCCCATAGACATACCCCTAAACCTTGCGGACAGCCTTCCCAGAAGAGTTGAAGCTGTTATAGCTGCAAAGGGTGGGCCAACTCAATATTGAACCCTATGGACTAAGACTGGGATGCCATTAAAGTTCATGTACATGTAAAGGCAGGTGTCCCAATACTTTTCGCAGTATAGTGTTTGTGGTTCTATTTCTGTCAACTACCTTATTCCTGTGATCATTCAATTTCTGCAATATAAAATAATGTGTAAGCATCACCACGTTTTGACTCCTCCCAATCCTCATGTATGCTGGTTAAGCTCCACCCATAAGCTGCTTTAGGCTTAGTGGATTCTAGCATGTGATGCTGAGAAGTAAGGTAACAGAAACAAACAGTCAGACCATTGTAACAAGATTTTCCTCATAATTTTAGGGAAAAATACTATATAACATTTTACAACCTTACAACTAAATATCTAGTACAGTAATATTTTATTGATCTCATTACTGCTCTTGATTGTAGTATAGAATGTGTTTGCATATTTGCCATTGCTAGGAGAGAGGGGTAAGAGAGATCACACACAGTACCTCTCCCTTGTCATAGCACAGCTGGCTGTTTACACAGTAAACTGGCAGAGAGGGCAGGCAGATGAGCTGGGGAGGGGGGTGAAAGTATAGGTTTCCCAGCTACACACTCCCCCCCACCAAAGAACCTCTGGTCCCCAAAAGAGGGGCAAAGACCATTTGCGTATAATGTCCATAATCTGGCACAAACTCTCAAAGTACATTGGGAGGCAAAGCAGGTTAGTACATATATTTATTCTGTTTCTGTTTATTTTCTAGCACTTGGCCTTTTAGTGGGAGCTATTGAAGTTGGACTGTCGTATTACCCAATTTTTGCATGTCTGACTACACATAATAAAATAATCGGATCCCTTACAGGATTTCTTTATACTCTTACCTGGTGTGTATTGATTCCATACTTTGCATATTTTTCTATATCTTATAAAGCTGACCATGCTACCTTTTCTTTGCTTTATGCATGCTTGTTTTTCAAGTGTTTGTCTTTGAAATGAAATTATTACATTTATAAGACAGTATGCAATAATAGAGCAATACTTAAAAAGAAAAAAACAGTTGTGGAGTTTAATAAATTGAACTAAGGTACCTGTAGCGATCGGCTAGTAAAAAAGCTGACTGTATCATAGCTTTTTCAAAGAGAATGGATTATGGTATAGTATAAACAGCCCAGGTTATAAAAATGCTTATTATGGTAATGAAATAATTTTACTTTTGTAATGTTAAGTGGAGCTCTGGGCAAACAGCTAAATGCTGTTCAGTTGCTCTTTCCATTTACACATCTCCATCACTTTGCATTTCTATAGCCTCTGCTCTGCTGTTTCCTAATTCTGGCTTCCTGGGTTATCTACCTTCTAATTTGACAGAGGTGGTGGTGATGATTGACTATCCAGTGAGCAGGCTGGCATCAGAGAGGTGACATAGGAAGCTGCAAAGCTCCAGCATTTGTGTCACCTGCCTAGCTATGCAGTATGGTAGGAGTGTGTTACTCACAACTCTTGCTGAATGAAACTTGCAACAGGTAGGACAGTCTGCACATATTTATTAGCTGTTGGCTGGGAGTACCATGTTAAGTCTATGTAGGCATGAGAGTATTATATGGGTTTGAATATAGGGCAATGATGGTAGAATTGACATTAAAGGAGACTACAGAGTTTCCTTCTGAACACATATATGATGTCCTATCAACTTGCTTCTTAGGCTGAATCTAAGTAACTGTGCATGCTGCAGATGCATGTCATATGTAGCGTTGCCCCGAAGGAGCAGCTAGATTTTGATTGGGCCCTCCTAAGCTCTATACAGCCAGTTAAAACACATTTTCAGTAAAACAGTCCTTGAGCTTGTTTTTGTTGGTTTTTTTTAAGGGTTAACAAATTGGATGGGGGGTGTAGTGATATATGGGATGCCTAGGAAACTGTAGAACTTGAGGACAACTTCTTAGCAAAAACACTGTAAAAACTATGGACCAATAATCTGCAACAGTCTCTTTAAGAAGCACTGAGTCCCCTTTGGTGTACCTCCACAAACCCCAGGAGAAGCTCTCCTCATCCACCTGTTTGTCCTGAGGGTATCCCTGAGCAAGGGATTTCAAGATCTGCAGTTAAGTAGTCCCAGATGAGAATTAGTTGGGTATTGCACCGCTTCTCTGGCCCAGGGAATGCAGAAGTACTCATACTGTCCTGTAGCTTAATGGGTCACAGCTGGTTTCAGGCCTTATGCTGGGCTGGCTCCTTCCCTGTTGACAGACTGTCCTCCCTAGGAGACTGTAATACAATGGAGATCCTTCCGTTCAGCACCAGCCTGTAGGTACGCTCCCCTCCCTGGGACTCCCTCCCAGGCTTCATACTCCAGAACTTTCCTTCAGTCCATCTTCCACCTGACTCCCCTGCTGTTCAGGTTCTTCCACATTTAAGGGTTGCTTTTAGATACAATGCCTGGCCTCCTGCCTGATGATTAGCCAGGTTCCCTTAAACATGCAAACAGGCCTCCTCCCCTTCTCCAGTTTCTAGAAGGGTGGGAGTAAAGTCTCCCAGCCTGTCCTGAGGTAACCTCTCTACCTCACTCTCAGACTGACTCATCCCAGGCTTTTAACAAGCCTCTGACTCACAAAACTCCTATCTAGCTAACCTAGAGGATGCTACACATATATAAAATGCATCAACTTCTACAAGCAGCATGAGGTACTGAACAGAGAATAAATCAAAATGACCAGGGAATACAGCAGAACACCTTTATAAACTTAATGAATATATTGTGTATATATCTTTCATTTTGTACTAATTCTAGAAATATTTTCAGGTTTATAGTCACTATGATTGCCATTGTAACATGCCCTCATGGGGAGGTAAGTACTATGGATTTGTATTAGTCACAGGTCCTCTCTAAATTTTAAATGGTATTTTTGCTGTAGATATTTTTAAATGTCTTCACTTACATACTAGAGATTCAAATACAAAGTAGAAGTTTTATTATTTCTCTTTATCTTTATACAGTATATATACAGTATTAATGTGATACTTTTTTGGGGTTTTTCAGAACGTAGGTCAATATGAAAAGGTCATTTTTAATTGGCCAGCTCTCTTGTGCTTGATATTCTTAATGGGACGGTTTGTTCACATATTTATAAAGTCCATTAGAATACTGCTTGGAGCTGACATCAGAGATGTAAGTATGAATGCACAACATTGAAACAATAACATTACCACTGAACAATTTATCACAAGACATTTATTATATCTTTTTCTCAGCATTATCTGCAAAAAAAAACACTGTAAAGTTACATGAAAATATTGGATTCTAGTCACCAGATCCCAATCTTCCGATCTATGGGAAGATTGTGCGACTGGGTGTGATTCTTCTGTCTGATTGGTTTTGTGCCCCACAGATAAGGCTTGTGCTAAAGATTTCTGCACACTGCATAAAACAGAGAGTGATACAAACATTAAAGAAAACATCATGTATAAAGCAGGAGAACTTGCAATGGACTGCAATCAAAATAACTAGTAAGCTGCAGCTTCAGCATTACTATTGACAGGAAGATGACTTCCAAGAACTACGGCAAGCACAAAGTTTGCCCCTTCGTTAATGCCGTGTGTGACATCAAGACTTTGCATAGTTACATAGTCTGGGTGAAAAAATGACAAAAGTCCATCCAGTTCATTCATAAAAAAAAGTTATAATCCTATACCCACAGTTGATCCAGAGGAAGGCAAACAAAACTGAAAAACTGAAATGGGATTTTAATCCCAAACCCTATATCGTTTATAAATATATTAAAAAGTAAGGGTCCCAACACTGAACCTTGGGGTATACCACTGACAATCCTAGAACAATTCAGAGTATGACCACTACTCTTTGAATACGATCTTTTTGACAGTTTTTCCATCCATATTTCACCACCCCTCTGTCCAAGGTTTTGCTCACCCCCTCAGAAAAAGAAATCAGATTTGTTTGACAACTTCTGTCTTTCATGCATCCATGCTGTCTGTTGCTTAAAATATTTTTTTCCAGCAAGAACTCATCTATGTGGTCTTTTATTAAACTCTCCAGTATCTTCCCAAAAATTAAACTAACAGGTCTATAATTACTTGGTAAAGATTTTGACCCCTTTTTAAATATTGGCACCACATTGGCCTTACACCAATCCAGTGGTACTGTGCCAGTCATTAAAGAGTCCCTAAAAATTAGAAACAATGGCTTTGAAATGACAGAGCTCAATTCTTTAACTAGTTGCCGACCGCAGATAGCCGAATGACGGCTGCACTGCGGCCGGCCAGTTCTGAGTGGACATCATATGACGTCCTCCCAGAACGCGCTCTCCTGCGCGCCCCAGGGGGCGCGCTCACCCGGCGATCTCCGTGATCGCTGTGTCCAACGGACACAGCTGATCACATGATGTGGTAAAAGGCCAATCACAGCGGCCTTTTACCACGTGATCAGCGGTGTCCAATGACACGCTGATCAGAGGGAAATGCAAGTGCCGGTTCTCGGCTGCACTTTCCTCACGCTGTCAGATCGTGAAGAAAGTACTGCCGAGAACCGGCAGTTGTCAGAGCGAGGATCGGCACCGATCATCAGGGCACTGATGATAAGTGCCCTGATGATCGGTGCCCAGCAGTGCCACCCGCAAGTTCCGCCCACCTGTGCCCAGCAGTGCGCCCACTAGCTCCGCCCACCTGTGCCCAGCAGTGCACCCACCTGTGCCCAGCAGTGCACCCACCTGTGCCCAGCAATGCCCCCAGCTGTGCCACTCTGCAGTGTCACACATCTGTGCCCAGAAGTGCCACCTACCTGTGCCCAGCAGTGCCACCCACCTGTGCCCACCCACCTGTGCCCACCAGTGCCACCCATCTGTGCCCACCAGTGCCACCCACCTGTGCCCACCCACCAGTGCTGCCCACCAGTGCCACCCACCAGTGCAGCCCAGCAGTGCTGCCAGTCAGTGCCACCAGTCAGTGTCCAGCGGTTGTGCCAGTCAGTGCCCAGCAGTGATGCCAGTCAGTGCCGTCTATCAGTACCCATCATCAGTGTCACCTATCAGTGCCGCCTATCAGTGCTGCATATTAGTGCCGCCTATCCGTGACACCTCATTAGTGCTGTCTATCAGTGCCGCCTATCCGTGCCACCTCATTAGTACTGCCTATCAGTGCCCTTTAGTGCTGCCTATCAGTGCCCATCAGTGCCGCCTATCAGTGCCCATCAGTGCTGCCTCATCAACACACATCAGTGAAGGAGAAAAATTACCTGTTTGAAAAATTTTATAATAGAAACAAAGAAACTTTTTTTTTTTAATTTTTTGCAATTTTTTTATTTATAGCGCAAAAAGTAAAGCGCCCAGTGGCGATTAAATACCACCAAAAAAAAAGCTCTATTTGTGAGAAAAAAATGATCAAAATTTCATATGGGTACAATGTTGCATGACCGCGCAATTGTCAATCAAAGTGCGGCACCGCTGAAAGCTGAAAATTGGCCTGGTAAATAAGGGGGTATAAGTGCCCAGTAGGCAAGTGGTTAAGGACCTGTGGGTGTATGCCATATGGTCCAGGTTCTTTATTCGCCTTTATACTGTCTAAATATTTTTGGATCATATCAATTGAGAGCCAATGTGGATCATTTGGAGCTCTGTCAATACCATGCCCATTATGGACAAGAGCTCCCCAATGGTTCTTTGTATACACAGAGCTTGAGAAGGTATTTAAATAATTTGCCTTCTCTTTGTCCCCAGTCACCCACTCTAGATTATTTTGTAAAGGGCCTACATGCTCAGACTGAACCTTTTTACTATTAATATATTTGAAGAATTTTTTGGGGTTGGTCCTGCTATCTTTTGCTATCTGTCGTTCATTTTCAATTTTTGTGGCCTTTATTTCCTTTTTGCATATTCTGTTATGTTCTTTGTAATGTTTAAACGATGATAGCGTTCCTTCATTTTTATATTTAGTAAAAGCTCTTTTCTTATTATCTATGGCTTTTTTAACTTTGGCCGTAAGCCACATAGGTTTGATTTTTAGCCTTTTAAACGTGTTGCCCATGGGAATATATTGCAACTATTCACATTAAATATTGTGTCAGTTTTATATTCTCATCATGTTAAAAAACATTTGTTTAGGTATTTGAACAAGATGCTTGTTTTAGTTCTCATTTTTCTTTCTAATATTTTTTTACAAGGAAGAAATATGCTTTCTACCAATCCATCAAGCGGAGCATGTAAAAACACTCTTCAGAAAACCTGTAACGTAAGTTTATTCAAACCACTTAATAACATTTTAGCTTATGAGGATGGGGAGGACACACACTCCTCGTGCATTACCATAAAAAATGTTTTTATTAAAACCTATAGACAAATGAATACTCACAAAAGAGATGCAAATGCAGACGTAAGTCATAGACCTTTCGGTCTGGGTCAGTGGGGTCCCATCCTGGAACCAAATGGTAAAAACATCTGTGGAGGGCTGCACCTGAGACTGTGGCATGTTATATACATCTGCGGGGAGCACCTGAAGTGCTGGAGTGTTTTATATTTATGATTTGTTTTCAGTTAAACACCATTCATAGCATTTAGCATTTAAGTTCAATTGTGAATTATCTAATTTATGAACACATATATGTTTAGCTTCCCAGTTCTATAGACTACTTGTAATATAAAGAACTGTTTTCCAGGCATTCTGAAATAATAATGTTTCTAGAAAAAGTGTATATCAATAGAAGCACAAGTGCCAAATAATCATAGTCAAATATAACAATAGCAGTAGTAATGTATAGCAAGATGTCATAAGCAGCACAAATGCTTCAAAATGTGGTAATTGTGATGTAATAGTAATAGTAATGTCCAGTGATCACTCACTAACCACAGATTTCAGACCTGTCATCTCATTTTCCTCACTCTCCTTCCATGGACTGTTGGACAGAATAGTTGGAACTGTAGTGCAATAAATACCATAAAAGGGAACATATAAATTATCAGCGAATAACATTTTATAGTGTACTGTTCGACCAACTATATTCTACCCAGCTCCTTACTCTTTGTTCAATCAACTTTTGTTGAGATGGTTAGTGGTCACCCACCACTCAAATTTTGGCCAATTCAGCATAATTCGAGCAGCATATGTTAGGCTTTAGGGTCTGACCTTTCTCTTATGTCTATGATCAGATTTAGTTTATGGTCAACTGGAGAACAATGGTACAAAGAAATGTATCATTTGATTCATATCATTGCAAAGTGAGTCTACCCCTAGACAAATTTTAGAAGTCTGAAAAGTTGGACAGTTTTTTGTTGGTAACGTATTTATATAAGAAAGCTCATTCAAACAAATTATTTTCTAAAAGGAAATGTTGCTAGAAAAATTAGTCTGGAGATTTTTTGACATATTTTACCAGGTGAACATTTTTTATTTCAATATTTGTTTTTCCATTTTAAAATAATTAAACCTTTGTGGACAAAACATGAAGCGTCAATCAATATTTGTATACTGTCACTTCTCATTACTGGATGAGGAAAATTTTCTCTTTAGGCTAAATTCATTGGAATCAATTTGAAGACAAAATTTCAGTGATTTCAGGTTTTTGAGGCTTTTTAAGAGCTTTAAAGAGGAACTTCAGTTCTCTGATATTTTGGTCCTGCTTGTTCTTTCTTGCATCGAGATCCATGGTGTGACTTTCCAGATTGGTACAGCACAGTGTATTTTAACCCGTCATACAGCACTTACAAGTGTAAAAAACAGTAGAAAAAAATTAGATTTATTACTGAACATGTATCCTGTCTGTATAACAATAATACATTATAAAGGTTCAAAACTAAATTTGTATAAGATTTAAAAAATAGTCAGAAACGTTTAAGAGTATTTTTTTTTATTCATTGCAACTTTGGTCATGTCTATTTTGCATTACTGAAAAAATTTAAAGCTGCAGTTAAAAAAAAATGTAATACCAAATATCAGCACAAGGTGTCAGTGAAAGAACATAGTAGGGAACCATACTATCCTATACAATGATATAATGTAGTTTCCTATGTTTCATATTTAGAAATGCAAAAAATGTGTATGAGGTTTGCTGAATATGTATACAGGACATGCTACTTACACCCTGTACACATGGACTCAAAAGGGGGTGGCCAATGACTCCAAGATGACAAGCCTTAAAGGTGTATGTTCCAATGCAATTGCTATCATTCTTAGCTGGCCCCATGCAATCAATTTTGTCTCTGATTTGAAATGTTAGATCAACAGAATTCCTTTGCAGTGGTCTACTTGTCTGGACATCATTTTATTGGACTGGTTTTTGTAGGTTGCATTATATAAACTGAAAATGCTGTTTATATGAGAGACTAAATTGTGCACAAAATCAGACTGTGTGGACCAGGGGCAGACTGACAACTCATGGGGCCCCCGGGCAATAGGGGATCCCCTGTGTCCTTGCCCAAACTCAAAAAAGCCTATGAAAAAGGTACCAGGGGCATCTCATGGGGCCCCCTACTGACCCCGGGTCCTCGGGCAGTGCCCAAGTTTCCAAATGGTCAGTCCGCCCCTGGTGTGGACTGATTTAGCTATGAGTGTCCAAACAAAAGGATCTGGACCCTGCACATATATCACCACTAAAGTTTAGTTACCAGTGCCACAATGCTAGCAGAAATGTCAAATAAAGAGTGCTAAATTATCCCATACATAGTGCCCCACTGGGGAATTTTTGTGGAAGAGATAGAACAAATATTGCATTTAAAGCACTATTAAACCCAAAAGCAAACATATATTGCAGGTCACCAATTCTTAGATGTGATGGCTGCATTATTTTTCTTTTTTAGGCTTTCTATCCTTCATTTTCACCTGGTGATCTGGAAAGTAAGTCTGTTGTTTTTCAGCAGAACAAGCTGTTCTGCAGTTGTATTCGTTAGTGGGATGAGACAAACCATTTACCACTGACAGGGGCGCTTAGAATAATTAGCTTTTATTTATGTAAAACCTTTATCCCAAAAGGAAAAAAAAAAACCTGTTGTTGTAAATGCTTAAAAAGTATTAGCTGGAGTTCAGCTTCAATTATTAGTGTATCTTGGGCCCCCTTTTTACATGGGCGGACCAATTGGGTCCACCTGTCAGTTTTTTTCAGACCCAATCAGACGCTCCATTATCCTCTTTGGAGTGCTTGTGTCCGTTTACACTCAACTGCATCCGATCCTATCCTCTAAAAACAGCTAAAAACGATTGAGCGGATCAGATTGCATAGCAGTCTGGTGAAAACGGACAGGCAGTCTGTTTATTACGTCTGACCACCCATAGAGGCAGTGGGCTGTGTCTGTGTCCGCTCTGCGTGAGCGGAGTGGACATGGACCAGCCATCTACTTGCTCAGCATGGATCAGCGGACAGATTCCCCACTGAGAAAGCAGACTCCTTGCAGAGTCTGCCTCATGTGAAAGGTGCCTAAATCTGCTAGTCCATCTAACATTTCCCTTCACCGAGACTGACAATGCTGCTATCATCCATAGTTGCCCCTCTGCTCCTTCATCCTGAGTGGGGGCACTCTAACACAGGAGGTGAGTTACTGGCCAGATCTCCAGGAGAAAACAGAGGGTAAACTTTTCAAAAAGAAAGCTAATGCAGCCACTACATTTAATAATAGGTAAACTTCAGTATATTACATTATTTTACATTACATTATTGGTTTAATATCGCTTTAAGTTAACTAATGCAGTATGTGTGTCTATACGTAAAATTGTATCTCAAAAAATGACCCACTTTTTAAATTATCAAGGGATAATAGAACAAGAGAACATTTACAGGTCCAAGAAAATGCCTTGGTATGAATATCAATATAAAGGAGTGGAAACACATGGCACAAACAGCTGGAATTCCCTCTGATTGACAGCTGTTCTCCTGTTCTGGAGCAAGGTCTTGACACAGACATCGCTCCATCCCTTTGATTCAGTCTCCCTCACAGATGCGCAACATGCGGCCTGTCTGACTAAAGCAGATTTCT